TTAATACTTCCCCGTTGCAATTCTCGCCCCCATAAAGGAGATTGGAGGCAAGAGTCCCCATTAAAAGCTAGGAACCTGCTGAGTCGTTACTAGCTGGTGTACGCACGCACCTCGCACGGCAGATGTTTGTTTGCTCGACGCGGCGGAAGATTGGAGCCCGAGCCAACGACAACAACGGACGCCACTTAGTACTCGTTGTTCATTCGCCCAGCAGCACGCGTTCCTCATCTCGTTATTGTTGTTCTTCTGCAGTGTTGATGTATTACGGAGCAACGCAGTTAAATGGTAATGAAATAAGACCGTATGTGTGATCTTAGCAACCCAGCAGCTGTCTAAACGGGGAGGGAGTAAAAATTGCCACTTAACTTTGCGTCCATTGATTCAGTATTAGTTTAAAGGAGTTTATTATTATCAGTTATAACGCCTTGGCTACACGAGTGAGTTATGGCGTATGTGTAGGTCTGTGTATGCTAGATTGCCTTAATTTAGTGCATATTTTACACACTTTCTTACGATCTTACTTCACAGTGGGTTTGTTAAATATACCCTTTGACTAGTTACTAAAAGGGTCTTTAAAGGTTAACTTGGGGTCTACTTTCGGATGACTAGACCCCCTTGAGTAGTAACTGAAAGGGTCAAATTAATTTAACTAGACCCCTTCTGGCTTGCACTGGGGTTAAGAAGATCACCAGTGAGGGAAATAAATCAGTAACTGTAGACAACGAATAACCTTTCACCACCACCACCACCACCACCCAGCAACGACGTTTAACCTACCGACGAAGGAGGACCCACTGAGAGCTGCCCCCCACACGTATACCTTAGAGGCCCTGTGAGTCATTGTTTATGTATGTTATGTTATTTTCTCCGCTCTCTCCCCCTCCCGAAAGGATTACAAATGGATGTTTTACCTCTAATATTATCATAGTATTACCTCAATTGGGACGTCTTTCTTGTTTTCTTATGTTGCCTTTGGGGGACAAAGGTGGAGTTGAGTTTTCTTAAGTGTATGAAGCCTTAGGGGAGTAGGTGGTGTGCTAGGGCGGATCCAGAGGGGGGTCCGGGTACCCCCTTTCATCAAAAAAAATTCCAATACTTTTTCTTTAATGCAGTGTTGTAATCAGGTGTTTTTGTAGTAAAGTGTAATTACTATTGACGTCAGAATATCTCTTAATATCAAGTGCACATGGCTTCAAAATGGCCTCAAAATTCCCAGGATATTGGTCAGATTTCAAAAACATTTCTGGGGCTTACAGCGCTCCCCCCTCCCCCAGCTGGGTGAGTTCGCTGTGCTCGCCATGTTCCACACCCAAAAGTTCTTGGATCCCCCTCGCCTTTTCATATTCCTGGATCCGCCCCTGGGTGTGTTAGGGAAGAAGAAGAGGAGCAGGAGTGTTAATCTCAGTCCCAGGTGAAAGGAGGGAGGCACGGGGAGGGAGTGAAGGAAGGAAGGAAGGATCGTGGTAAGGCAAGCATAAGGATCAACTAATAACATCTTATACAGCCTTAGTAAAGTTCTCTTCCTCTTAGGTCGTGTGTGTGTGTGTGTGACCTCTTTTGTGCCGTCTTAGTGAAGTGTTGTGGCAGCAGCTTGTGTGTGTGTGTGTGGGGATGAGTTGGGTGACACTGCTGCTGCTTTCATCTCTCATTCCCTTTACACCTGTTGTCCGTTGTGGGGTACCCGAGTCCCTGCTGCCGCTACGCCTGATCTGCCTTTATTTAACCTTTCCTTTGTCCTATAGCGTGGTAGTGTCCTCTCTCTCTCTCTCTGTCTCTATCAACTCCAGGTCGCAGCAGTTTTCTTTCTGATTCGTTTTCGTCACTCGTTTTTCTTTTCCTGCTTTCATTAAATATTATTAATTTTAATCTATTTTCATTTAAGTGTAGAAGGACTAAAGCCAAATGTCATATATATATTAGGTTCTACATCTGTTGACGTGTTTAGAGGTCAAATATCAAGGTTGAAAGGTCACTGATAGACTGGCAGTAAAAATATCTTATTACAACTTTTTTATTTCATCGATTTTATTATTATTATTATTTATTTATTTATTTTTAACTTTTGTCATTTTGCTGTACGTTTGTTGATAGCATTAGGGGAGAAATGGGTTAATATGTTGGGGTGTTTAACCTTCAGGTGATATTTGATTATTTTACCTGCGCCAGCCAGTGTTATAATAATTAGTCTGAAAATTTTTGTTTATTCATACCTGCGTCAATTAGGTGTGTGTGTGTGTCACTCTTACCTGGACAACTTCCTCTTTGAGCGGTGACGTATGTGTAAACGCGGCTGAGTTCACTGCCAGACGTACGAATAATACTTCGATAATAGTCTCAGTGGTGGCTACAGATTGAAATCCTCATCAAACGTAATTATTTCACTTTGATGACCGAGTCTTATAGTTAATATTATTTAAATTATCCTTAAAAGTATTATAATTTTCAGTGTTAGTAGAGAAAGAATTCATTTAGCAGTATGATATCATCCGGTGCTGTTTGGTTATCTCTTGAGACATCCAAACAGTCGTCAGTGTTGATGTGACTGTCAATGAGGGAGGATGTGTTGACCAGCTCGCTCACTGATGGAACTTATGACTGCTATTCTGATTACTGACTGACTCATTCACTGCTCCTTATTTAACCTTATTTTGAAGGATCTTTATAGTTTTCACCGGCTTATATTGTTGTGGGTATGATGTGATGTCTTTTATTTGTTCAGTTTAGTTTTTGTTAATTGAATTTTTGTTTTCATATTTGTAAGAGAATGTTACTAATACAGGTCAGGGCTCGATAAAGGTCAACAGCGGAGAGAAAGGTCAAAGATTAGAGGTCATTTATGAAGGCCACTTACCCCCCCCCCCACACACACACACTTGAAAACATCCATAGTTACTTAATGAACGCTACGATATTTTTACTGTCGTAAGTTCGCCACCTTCTAACAACGACCACCTTCCCTAGCGACCATTTTCCCAACCGATCTCCTTCCAACTACCACCTTCCTCCAGTGACCACCTTCCCCAAGCGACCACCTTCCCATAGCGACCACCTTCCCTAGCGACTACCTTCCCTAGCGACTATCCTCCCTAGCGACCACCTCCCCCAGCGACCACCTCCCCCAGCGACCACCTCCTCCCTAGCGACCACCTCCCCCAGCGACCACCTTCCTCTAGCGACCACTTTCCCCTAGAGACCACCTTCCCCAGCGACCACCTTCCCTGAGCGACCACCTTCCTAGCGACCACCTTCCTCCAGCGACCACCTCCCCTAGCGACTATCATCCCAGCGACCACCATCCCCAGCGACCACCCCAGCGACCACCTCTAGCGACCACCTCCCCCAAGGACCACCCCTCTAGCGACCACCTTCCCTAGAGACCACCTTCCCAGAGACCATCTCCCCCAGCGCCCACCTTCCTCCATTCACCGCCAAAGGTCAAAGGTCACTGTACGCTGTTATCATCTGACCTTAGTTACAAAAGTTCACCTCGAAAGTGTTCAGTGCGCTGCGGGTGTATCCAGTATAAGTGAAGAATGTTTATATCAAAGTTTGTAGAATATATTAAACATTTCTGAATAAGTTTCTTCGTGTTTGTGTTTATATGAGAGAGTTAGTGTTTGTTTAAGTGATATAATGTACTCTGTTTTTGTATTAATAACTTTGTGTTTGTGTGTGTGTGCGACTGTTTGTGGTTATGTATGTGTGACTGTTTTTGTGTTCATGTATGTGTGACTGTTTTTGTGTATGTGACTGTTTTTGTGCATGTGTGACTGTTTTTATCTATGTATGTGTGACTATTTTTGTTTGTGTATGTATGTGTGTGACTTTTTGGTGTATGTGTATCTAAATGTTTGTGTACAGGTGTGAGTTCTTCAGGACCGTGTGAGACTGCGTTCCACAGGTCTCCATTAGGTAGAGAGTAGATGTGATAAACTGTGCACTAAGACTTTGGTGTACGAGGAGGCGATGGTCGGGCACTGCACTAGACCATCTGTTACTTCCCTCATCTGTAAAGTTAGGTGCACACACACACACACACACACACATACATATATGCACAGACACACACACAGACACATATGCAGAGACACATACACAACACACATATATGCACAGACACAAACACACATATGCACACACATACACACACACTCACCACACACACACACATATGCAGCACACACATGACACAGACACACACATGCACATACACGCACACATGCACACACGCACACACACATATGCACAGACACACTCACTCCCTCTCTCCCCCTCCCTCTTCCCACTCCCACTTCCTTTCCCCACCCTCTTCCTCACTTGCCTCCTACCCTTTCCTCCCTTTCCTTCTTCCATTCCCTCTCCATTTCTCCCCCCATCCCCCCCAGGCATTACCATTAATCTGATGTACGAGTGCCATTATGACTCCCCTAGTGTTGTTGGAGGAGGAGGAAGGAGGGGAGGAGGAGGAGAGGAGGAGGAGGAGGAGGAGGAGGAGGAGGAGGAGGAGGAGGAGGAAGAAGAGGGTGCTGATGTAGTGTCATGCTGTGCCTCTTCACTCCTGACGTAGGGCCAAATGGGAGGAGGATCTTGATTATTTTAGGTTAGGTTAGGCTAGGTTAGGTTTACGTTAGGATAGGTTAGGTTAGGTTAGAGTTAGGTTAGATTAGAGTTAGAGTTATGTTACAGAGAGGTGAAGCGTGTTGAAGACCTCTGTTTGTCCTAAAGCGTCGCGTCGGTGTTATAAACGGATTGACGTTAATTAAAGAACTCTTGTCTGTTATTTTAATGAGTGTCACTTTACTGGATATGCATAATTAATTACAAAATATATATATATACTTTTTAGGGGGGATGTGTGTGTGATTTGACCTGACAAATGGGAGGGAGGTGAGTATTATGATCCCAAAACACCTGTATATGACCCCAACACACCTGCAGATATGACCCCAACACACCTGTATATGACCTCCAAACCTCACCACCACCTCTTCCTCCTTCAGGTGCTGCGGGGAACCTGCTGCGTGGGGTGGAGGTGCCTCAGTACGCCTTCGCCGGAGAGGAGGCTGTTAAGCTGCTCCTATGACCTGAGGGCGACCCGCCTCTACTCCCTCAAGTGGTATCACAACGGCACCGAGTTTTATCGCTATGTCCCCACCGAGAGGAACGCCCCGATCAATATTCAGCCTACGCATAAGTTTTCTGTTACCGTGAGTGTTCTTTAGTGTTCTATAGTGTTATTTGGTGTTCTCTAGGTGTTTTTTTTAGGAGTTTAGTGTTCTTTAATGTTCTCTTGGTGTTATTTAGGTGGTTTTAGTGTTCTTTAGGTGTTTTTAGTGTTCTTTATTGTTCTCTTGTCGTTTCCTACTGCTCTCTGTCATTCTGTGGTGTTCTCTCGTGTTCTCTTCGGTTCTTCTGTTCTCTCGTATTGTCTCGTTCTCCAATAACATAGCAACACTGCCCAGGTAATCCCCCCCCATTATATTATCCTGATTAGACGTAGGTTAGGTTAGGTTAGGTTAGGTTAGGTTGGGTTGGTTTAGGGTAGGAAGGAGAGATAGAGGATGGAGGGAATAGAGGATGGAGAGAAGGATTGGATGGAAGCAGAGAGAGAGAGAACAGCAGAACGGAGGGGAATTAGGAGGAGGGAGGAAGGTACGTAGAGAGAGAGAGACAGAAAGATAAAGAGAGAGAGAGGAGAAAGAGAGACAGACATAAAAAGGGAGAGACAGAGACATAAAGAGAGAGAGAGAAAAGAGAGAGACATAAAAAGAGATAGAAAGAGTACGACATCATCTATTCAACTTCGTTCATGTTGGGGGCCGCATTCAAGCTTGTGTGTGTGTGCGAGGCTGTCCAGTTTTGACCTCTGGTACTCTCTACACCCACCCAGGACACTTAACTCACTAAACTCTCCTACCACACACACACACACACTCCACCACACCCAATCAACCCAAAAATTCTCACACTCACCCAACAACCCCCAAATCTCTCTCTCTCTCTCTCTCTTACACACACTCACACACACACACTCAGGCGCACACTCACATATTCACCACCCACTCCACCCTTCCCTGCCCACCCACATTAGTGTGTAGGAGTCATTCTTGTGTGTGTGTGTGTGTGTGTGTGTGGTGTAATTGGTTTTCCGTTCTCAATAATATAATGGTGGTGAGGCACATCGTTATCTAGTGCTAACGATGTAACTGCTTTCTCTCTCTCTCTCTCTCTCTCTTTCTTTCTTACACTCCCTTTCTTTTTCTTTCTCTCTATTTCTCTTTCTCCAGTTATCTATATCAATATACACATACACAACAATCACTCCACACACACACACATATACACACACACACACACACACACACATATATATACACACACACACACCCACTCCACCACACCCTCCACCACACCCACTCCACCACACCCTCCACCACACACACACACACACATATATATACACACACACACACACACACACACACACACACACACCCTCCACACACCACACACACACACACTCCTCACACACACACACACACACACACACACACACACACCTCCTCCCACACACACACACACACACACCTCACCACCACACACACACACACACACACACACTCCACACACACACACACACACACACACACACACACACACACACACACACACACACACACACACACACACACACACACACACACACACCTTTTTCTTTACCACCAACAACTCAATCCCGTACACAGTCTTTGGTGGCGCTCTTTGATCTCTCCAACACTGAAACGCTGCACACCTGACAAGCCTCTCATCTTTCGGCAGTTGTGGGCAGTTGTCAGTGTTGGCATGGAGTAAAACCCCTATGGAATATATTCAGTTATTCACATTGCTTTATAGTGTACAGTCTATTCGCCTTTTCTCTTTGAACTGAACCCACGAATCCCACGAGAGATTCAGTCCGAGTCGTGAATCCGAAGCATTTATGGATGAAAAATATAAGGTGTTGGAGTCTATTGCTTCGGGTTGGTTCACGAGTGAGTCTGATTCTCTACTGCTCGGGGTTCGGGTGTTTTGGTTTAGGGGGGGGGGTGAGTGGAGTTTAGTGTAATTGATTGTACCAGAAGTAGTCATAATGTAGAGAGAGAGAGAGAGAGACCCTCCCCTAGCGGTATACCTCAAGGACAGATCGACCACCGCGCTGGGAGTGACCTCGTTAAGCCCAGCAGGAGGGATCGATGGACCACAGAAGAGATTCGGTACACACTGACCACTGTGGCTGGCTGACCACTGTGGCTGGCTGACATGGCTGGCTGACCACTATGGCTGGCTGACCACTGTGGCTGGCTGGCCACTGTGGCTGGCTGACCACTGTGGCTGGCTGACCACTGTGGCTGGCTGACCACTGTGGCTGGCTGTGGCTGACCACTGTGGCTGGCTGACCACTGGCTGGCTGACCACTGTGGCTGGCTGACCACTGTGGCTGGCTGACCACTGTGGCTGGCTGACCACTGTGACCCACTGTGGCTGGCTGACCACTGTGGCTGGCTGACCACTGTGGCTGGCTGACCACTATGGCTGGCTGACCACTGTGGCTGGCTGACCACTATGGCTGGCTGACCACTATGGCTGAACCTTTTATTTTTATTTTAGCCATTTACATATTTGTTTACTAGGATAACTAAATGGCCTCCTGAGATCTCTTGTTTAGTGTTCCTAGTCTTACATGTCTCCTCCCTCTCCCCCCCCCTCCTTTAGCCTACCCCACACATTACCACCCCCCTTCACCCCCAGTCTACCCCCACACGTCACTCCACAGTCCGGACACCCAGGGAGGACACACACACACACACACACACACACACCAGATTATCGTAATTACAGGACAAGTATCGCTCTCGTTGTGTACTATAACGCTAATTACGTAATCACCAGGTGTACACGCCCACCTGTGGTAATTGCCTACAATAATTAATACCATGGTGTGAAGCGACCGGCAGGTAATGTTAGGTTAGGTTAGGATAGGTTAGGTTTTAGAAGGCTTAAAAATTACACGAACCTGATTAATTGTGATATGTAATTTTTTTGACTGGATTAGATTATTAGTTAAATTTTTTTTAATGTTTTTTTTAGTGATCTGTTTATTCGTTTTCTTTGTTATTGTTATTTTATCTTATTTTTGTTTTATTCTGACGTTCCTGTTAATTTGTTTTATTCAGGTCTGTGTCGATGTTTTTATTCATTTATTTTCTTTTTTTTTCATTTTTCATTTCTCTCTTCCGTGTTTTTCAACTTTTGTTTTATTATTTTTCTTGTTCTTCCCTCTTTTATCTCTTGTTATTCACCTGTTATTCTGTTCCTCTCATATCTCGTCTGTTTTTTTTTTCTTTCATTTATTCTCACCTTTAATCTTTGTGTTATTCTCTCGTCTCCTTTTTTTATTGCATTTTATTATTCTATCTTCACAACTGTTATTTTATTTAATTATCGTTGTTGTTGTGTTATTGTTGCTTATTCCATCTTTACTTATGTTCTTTTTGTTATTGTATCTTTTATTTGTGTTTTTGCTTATTCCATCTTCGTTATATTTATCTTTGCTATTTTTTTTATTATTCTCGGCCACTTTTAATCCTTTTTATTGTTATTTGTCGTTATTACATTTTTATTTACTTTTCTTCCATTATTATTTCGGTTATTATTGTTATTTTTATTATTTTATCTTTATTTTTTTATTTATCTTTTATTCTCGGCGATTATTTTTATTCCTGGAAGCTCCGGGTATTATTGTATTTTCGTGTCACTAGTCCATTTTCCTCCCTCCAGGTTTTCCCTCCACATCTTACCTTTATGTCTTTCCTCTGTATTTTCCCTCCTTAGTTACCCTCCAAATGTTCCCTCCACTTCTTTCCTTCTCAATTTCCCTCCCCATTTACCTCCACTTCTTTCCCTCCACATTTCCCTCCTTATTCCCCTTCACAGCTTTCCTCCGTAATTTCCCTCATTTCGCCTTCACTTCTTCCCTCCAGATATTCCCTCCACGCGTTCCCTCCAGTTCCCTCCTCATTTTCCCTCCACTTCTTCACTCCACATCTCCTTTCCACATATTATATACCTGTATTTACTCGTAATTTCTTCCGTATATATATATCAATAGCTCAAAGGTTAAGCTGAGGTCACTGAACTTGGGTCAAGAGTTGTTTATTATGATGGCGATGAGATAATTGTGCTGTTTGGTGTGTATTTATTTGAGTAAAGGTTATAATGTGAGGTTAGGTCAGGTTAGGTCAGAACAGTAACCTCACCTGACCTAACTCAGGTCAGGTGAGGTTAAGTCTATCTCACCTTTAACATAAACAATCCCAACTTGAACCAAAATTAATAACCAAATCATTTTCTTTTTAACATACAAATGAATCTTTTGCGGCGACTTGACTACCGATAGTAAATTATACGTTAGTTAAGAATTATGTCAACGAAACAGACGGAATTTATTGACAAAAAAATCCCCCCCCACAATGACTCATCTTCGTAAAAAACATCCTTCAGAAACGTCAAGAAGAACTGGGTGATATTTTCTGACTAAACTAAAACAAATAAAACAAATAAAAAACTACGACAAGAAAAACTGTATGATATTTGCTGACTACAATAAAAATAAAAACAAAAAGAGAAAAAAGAAAGCTTGTAGTCTTCATTCGTTTTCTAAGTTAATAAATTAGTTAACGGGAGAGAGAGAGAGAGAGGGGGGGAGGGTAAAATACTGTACTGTGTGGCCAAAGTTTGGATCGGGAGGATGTTTTTTGTTAAGTTAGCCCTTGTGTTAATTTACGTTTTCTATGATGTTTTAAAATTTCATTCCTTCTTTCTTTCCTTCATTTGGTGACTTCATTCTTTTTTTCCTTCCTTCAATCATTAATTTTTTCCTTTATTCTTTTCTTTCTTCATTAATTCCTTCCTTCCTTCCTTCCTTCCTTCCTTCCTTCATTCCTTCCTATCTTATATAGACAGACGTAGACACACACACACACACACACACACATACACACACAGTTTCAGAGGCTCCTAAGTTCAATTTTCCGTCTGATTGACAATGAAAAACTCCAAGAACTGAATTCTCCAAAAAGTTGTCAAAGTTTCAATCACTTTCCGTAACTAACTTAGCGTAAAATAACACGTCCTGATATTATGCAGTAGAGGAAGAGTACAGTAGAGTTTCAGTGCAGTTCTGACGCCATCTTTGCCTAGTGTAGTCCTGCGTGTGATGCAGTAAAGTTAGTTGGGAAATTTTGATTGTATTTTTTTTTTACAGTTTCTGTCAGGGGGATTTTATGTCTTCTGGGGGAATTTTATGTTTTTTAGGGTAATTTTATATATGTTAGGGATTTTTTTTTATCTGTTAGGGTTTTTTTTTTTACAATTTTGGTGGAATTTTTTTCATGTGTCGGAAAAATTTTCGAGCTGCTTTTAGGGAAACTATTGCTTCTTCTGGTTGGGAAATTTGACATCTTCTGTTAGGGGAAAAAATAAGGAAACTAACATAAATTATACATTGTTGGGGAAATTTTACATCTTATAGGGGAAAATAAGGAAATTTGTAGAAACTAAAAATTGATATAGAATGGAATAGGTGTTTGAGTATAATTGAATTACTTTGTTACTTATCGTGGAAATAATTATGAAGTTATCTGAATTGTAAAAAAAAATAATAAAAACAAAAAAATTTCTATCTTGGTATTTTGAAATAGTAAGTGTGGAAATGTTGTTGTTGTTGTTGTTGTAGTTTCTGAGTGTTGTTGTTCTTATTATTATTGTTGGTGAGAACGTTATTAATTACTTTTTCCTGTGTACACTATTTATATACAGTATGCGTGTATTAGTATGTATGTATATGTATTTGTGTATGTATGCATGTGTGTGTGTGTGTACATAGATAAATAAAATAAAAAATCGTCCATGAAATACGACACGTCAAAAATTATTTATATATTTGAACAGTTCATCGCGTCTATGTTTTTAGCCCGGCAACAACTGACCACAAAACAAAAGCCGATCGCATGTTGAAATATTATAAGTGTCGAGGACTATTAATCTTAACCCCATCATGGAGTTTATACTTTTTGTTGTTGTTGACGAATGATTCTAATAACATGGTGGAAATGAGTTTGTAATTGTTAAAGGGGGATTATAATATGTTTTGTGGTACTGTATATAGTTATTAATGAGAGGAATTATAGTGGGGGATTGTGATTGGTTATATTTAATTGGTGATTATAGGTCTCACTCGAGAGGTGATTATAGGTTATACTCGAGAGGTGATTATAGGTTATACTCGAGAGGTGATTATAGGTCATACTCGAGTGGTGATTATAGGTCATACTCGAGTGGTGATTATAGGTTATACTCGAGAGGTGATTATAGGTCACACTCTAGCGGTGACGAGGGGTGGGACTTTGTTTTCTGAAGTGTTGAAGTGAGAAATATATATATAGAGAGAGTATTTATTTTTTGTTCTTTTGTGGGAATAATTTTATCTTTCCTTCCTCTCGTCTCTTTCTTTCTCCTTTCTTCTATATTTCTTTATTTATCTTCTTCTATCTTCTGTTTCTTCCTGTCCATTCATCTTTCTTCTTCGTCTTCATTTCTTCTCCTCTTTATCTTCTTTCGCTTCTTCTTCCTTCTATCTTCTCTTCTCTTCTTCATTCCGCTTCTATCTCCTCTCTTCTTCCTCCTCCTCTTCTCTTCTTCCCCTTCCTCCTCCTCTTCCATCAGAAAGATTTATGTGTAATATTAATCTCTTTATTGCCACTTTTGTTATAAGGACAGAGGGAGAGAGAGAGAGAGAGAGAGAGAGAGAGAGAGAGGTTACATTGTATACACACACTCATGCATGCACATACATACACAATGCACCTACACAGTACACACACACACAGGCATAGTATACAATTGTGGGCGTGTATGTTGCGTGTTCCCTCCCGTTATGTGTCTTGGTGTAGAGAGAGAGAGAGAGAGAGAGTCTAGTGTGTGTGTGTGTGTGTGTGTGTGTGTACGTCGCCCTGTCTCCGTATAAGCGAGCTCCGTTAATCTTCATATCTCAAAGTCAGGTTAGTGTTAATACCTGTGCCTACCTGTACCACCATTACCACTACTACCACCATTGCCACCATTACCACTACCACCACCCTCACCACCACTACCATCACCACCACTACCATCACCACCACTACCATCACCACCACTACCACCACTACCATCACCACCACTACCATCATCACCACCACTTCCATCACCACTACCATCATCACCACCACTCCATCACCACTACCATCATCACCACCACTACCATCTACCACTACCATCACCACCACTACCATCCGCCATCATCACCACCACTCCATCACCCACCATCATCACCACCGCTTCCATCACCACTACCATCATCCCACCACTTCCCATCCCCACTACCATCATCACCTTTTACCATACCATCACCACCATACCACGCACCATCACCCACCACTACCATCATCACCACCACTACCATCACCACTACCATCATCACCACCACTACCATCATCACTACCACTACCATCACCACCACTACCACCATTACCACCACCATCACCACCACTACCATCATCACCACCACTACCATCACCACCACTTTCTTCTATTCCCAGGAAAATCTCGACCTATTTTGGTGGACCTGTTCAGTAGTTATAGCCCTTGAGGGATTCGCCATTTTTTATTTTTTTATTTTTTTATTTGTTATTTTTATTTCTCGTCGTAGATTTTCATGTTTGGTGGTTTTTGTGTTTGTTTCTTTGCCTTATTTTGTTTTGTTTTATTTTTTTATTTTCTTTGTGATTTTTATGGTATTGTAATTTTTATTTGTTTATTTTTTTTACTATTTCCATGTTTATATTTTTTGCTATTTTCCTTGTTTTAGCCTTTTCCTTATTTGTCACTATTTTATTACGTATTTTTCCTTCTCCCTTATTTACTTATTTAATGTCTTTTAGTTTTTATTTATATTTTATCTTGTTTGTATTATTATTATTTTCTTCGTATTATAATTTTCCTTATTTTTCAAGTTTGTTTATTTTCATTATTTTCATGTTTTATTTGTTTGTTTTTTCTTCATATTTTGTTTATTGTTCGTTTGTGCTTTTTTTCTTATTTTTATTATAAATCTCACAGGACAAAATCCCACTGCAAAAAATCCCACCTGACAAAATCCCACCTGACAAAATCCCACTGGTCAAAATCCCACTTGTCAAAATCCCACTGCAAAAAATCCCACCGGGCTAAATCCCACCTGACAAAATCCCATTGGTCAAAATCCCACCGGACAAAATCCCACTGGACAGAATGGCATGGTGACGAGGATCTCAACTCTCTCTCACACACTCACTCTGTCACAATGGTTTCCCAATAATCACACCTCTAATTCTTTCTTTCTCTCTCTCTCTTTCTCACTTTTATCATTTTTTCTCTCTTTCTTTCTCACTCCCTTTCTCTTTATCTTTGTCCAATCATTTTTTCTCTATATATTTCTTTTGTATTTTTTTTAATTCTTTTTCTCTGTATCTCTCTCTCTTTCTCTGTTTCTGTAATGTCTTTGTTATTCTTCTTTCTTTGTTTTTATCTTACAGTGTTTCTCTTTCTTCCTTTCTTCTTATTCTTTTTCTTTTCTTTCTCTCTCTCTCTCTCTCTCTCTCTCTCTCCCCCCTTCTTTGTTTTCTTCGTCTCATTTATGTCTCGTTTAATTTTATTCATCTCTTTTCTTTTAATTAATTTCCTTTGTTTCCCTCCTATAGTGGAACCTCTATTTAACGGACTCTGGTGGGGAAAGTTCATTATATCGAGGTTCTTTTAGATGTGGAAGCTCTATTTAACGGACTCTAGGGGGGTAAAGTTCATTATATTGAGGTTGTGTTAGATGTGAAACCTCCATTTAACGGACTAGAACAATTAGATAGAAAGTCCGTTATGTAGAGGTTAAAAGGATTATGTTCCATACCGTTTCTTGTCTCTTCTTTCTTTCTTTCTCTCTTATTCTATTATCTCTCGTTCGCTTATTATTTATTTCTTCATTTCCTCTTTGTTTTTCCTCCTCATTTCATTTCTCTTATTTATTTAATTTATCTTATTTCCTTCATTTATCTTATTTCCTTCATTTGTTATTTCCTTCATTTCTCTCTTTTCTTCCATTATTGATTCTTTAATTCTCTTCTTTTGGTCTTCCTATTCCCTCAATTTATCACCTATTTTCTTCATTAGTATATTATTTTTTTTTGCATTTCCCATCATCATCATCATCACGTTCTTCTATTACTGTTTATGTTATTACTAAGCCACCCGCACCTCCCTACCAAATTTGAGCTGGTGCATGACCATCTCTTAGTTCACCCGCACCTCCCTACCAAATTTGAGCTAGTGCATGGCCATCTCCTAGTTCACCCGCACCTCCCTACCAAATTTGAGCTTGTGTTTATAGTGAGGTATTTGGGTTATTATTGCTGTTATTGTTGTTGTTTTATTGTTATTGCTATTATTATTATTATTATTATTATTATTATTATTATTATTATTATTATTATTGTTATTATTGTTGTTGTTATTGATGTTGTTTATATATTTTATTATTATGTATGGGTTTGAGTAAGAGGAAAATCTGATATGAATTAATATTTTTATGTTTCTGTCTCTCTCTCTCTCTCTCTCTCTCTGTCCACAAATCCTTTCTTTTTCACTCCTTTCCCTTTCACTAAATTCTCTCTGCTTTCTCTTTTAACACACACACACACACACACACACACTTACCTCTCTCCCTTTCACTGCTTTTACCCTTTCACCACACATCCTTTCACTCTTCCCCCCTCTCTCTCATCTCACATACTCTCACCCCTCTCTCTCTCTCTCTCTCTCTCTCTCTCTCTCTCTCTCTCTCTCTCTCTCTCTCTCTCACTAACTCTCTCTACTATCCTCCCTACAACCAGGAAGTGTCCCGGGACGAGAGGAGGGTGACGGTGTCGCTGACGAAGCTCCGGGTGTCTGCGTCAGGACAGTACAGGTGTGAAGTGATCGCCGAACACCCTAGTTTCCGGACCGAATTCGCTGCCGCTAACATGACCGTGCTGAGTGAGTACAGTGAACCATAAACAATGCTCCTTTTTTGGTATCTCTAATGCTCGTGGTGTCAATGCTCCTCTTGGTCTCTTATCCTCGTGGTGTCAATGCTCCTCTTGGTCTCTTATCCTCGTGGTGTCAATGCTCCTCTTGGTCTCTTATGCTCATGGTGTCAATGCTCCTCTTGGTCTCTTATCCTCATGGTGTCAATGCTCCTCTTGGTCTCTTATCCTCGTGGTGTCAATGCTCCTCTTGGTCTCTTATCCTCGTGGTGTCAATGCTCATCTTGGTCTCTTATCCTCGTGGTGTCAATGCTCCTCTTGGTCTCTTATCCTCATGGTGTCAATGCTCCTCTTGGTCTCTTATCCTCGTGGTGTCAATGCTCCTCTTGGTTTCTATTGCTCGTGGTTTCTAATGCTAATGGTATCGATGCTCTGGTCTCTTATGCTCATGGTATCAATGCTCCTCTTGGTTTGTAATGCTAATGAAAGGAACGTGTGCGTGGGGTAGGGTGGGGTGGGGGATAGGGAAGGGGGGTGATAGGGGACTGACGTGTGTTGTGGATGGGGTGAGGGAGGGAAGGCGAGGTGAAGGAGATGAGAGGAAAGGTGTTGTCACGATATGGTTTTAACCTCTGTGTTGTGTCTCTTGAGTTACTGTGTATGTACCTAGTGTGGTGGCTCTCTCTCTCTCTCTCTCTCACTATTTCACTCTTTCTCTCAATATTTCCCTCTCATTCTGTCTATTTCACTCTTTCGCCCCCCCTCTCTCTCTCTCTGTCTGAGTAAGAAAGAAAGAAAGAAAGAGAGAGAAAGAGTCAACCAGTATGTAATTACCGTGAACCCGGCCAACACAAATAAGGTGTTGTATTGTACATCTTGAAGGCGGAGGTCCCCTAGTGCTCCTCCCTCCTCCTTCCTCCTTCTCTTACTCCTCCTCCTCCTTCCTCTCTCTTCCTCCTTCCTCCTTCTCTTACTTCTCCACCTCCTCCTTCTTGCGTCGATCCTTCCTTCTCTTTCATATCTTCTTCCTCCTCCTTCTTCCTCCTTCCTTCTCCCGTAAAACTTTCTCCCTCATCCTTCATCTACCATCCCCTTCCCCTCCTTCCCCTCCCTTCCTTCCTTATTCCTACACTTTTCTTACCTCCTCCTCCTCCTTCTCTCCTCCCTCCCTCCTCCCTCCAGAGTAGCTACTACACCTGCATTGTTGCTGAGGTAGGCCACTTAGCTGTGGTGGCCTGACACACACACACACACACACACACACACACACACACACCCCCGAGGTGTAGGCATGTGTGTGTCAATGAACTGAGAGAAGCCGCCTCAATATTCTCAACCCCAACGACATCAACTTCTCTCTCACTCTTTCCTCCCATTTTCTGTGGCTATTTTTGTCTCTTGTCTTCCACCCTCTTTCTTCTCTTGACTTTTGTTTGTTCTTTTATTTATTTTATTAATTTTTTTTGGGGGGGTTGATCTATTTTTGTTAGTTTTTATTTTATTTTTTTATTCTTCAGTTTAGTCAATTTTTTCGTCTTTTATTTTCTTTGTTTTTTATTAATGTTATTGTGTTTTTTGTTGTTGTTATTCTTCTTTCTACAGTCTTCTTCTTCATCTTCTTCCTCCTCTTTTTTTCTTCTTCATCATCTTCTTCTCGCCTTCCTCTTCTTCCTCCTCTTTTTTTCTTCTTCTTCTTCTCGTCTTCCTCTTCTTCTTCCTCCTCTTCTTCCTCTTCTTCCTCTTCTTCTTCCTCTTCTTCCTCTTCTTCCTCTTCCCTCCATCACGTCGACGGAATCAATACCATATAAAATAGATTTCCCCAACCATTTTCTCGCCTTGTGTCTCCTAAAGGAATTCTGGGACCACCTGATGATTGGCCACCCTAACTTGTTTCACCTGATGATTGGCCACCCTAACTTGTTTCACCTGAAGATTGGCCACCCCTAACTTATTTCACCTGAAGATTGGCCATCCTAACTTATTTCACCTGAAGATTAACCAACTTAACCTTACCTGGGGGGTTAGGTTAGGTTAGGTTAGGTTAGATTAGATGAGGTGAGGTTAGGTTAGCTTAGGTATGAAGGTGAATCTTCAGGTAAACAAATTCTCGAATATACAGTAAGCTCATTACACGGTCTGACACACACACACACACACGACCTACCTCGATGAATCTCTATCTCATCCTCCCCCCTTCTGCCCCCCCTCCTCTCTCTCTCTCTCTCTTCTCTCTCTCTCCCACCGTCTCGTCCTGTTCTTCCAATTTCCTCCCAACTTGGTCTCGCTGCGTTGATGATGTCACACCTTTCCTTTTCCACCCTCCTGACTTTCTCTCCCTCCCCTCTTTCTCCTCCCCTCTCTTTCTCTCTCTCTACCCCATTTCTCTCCCCCCGTCCCTATTTGTTTCCTGTCTAGCTTTAACCTCACCTCTCCCTTTTCTCCCGTTTCCTCCCTCTACCCTTCCCGCCGTGTGAGAGAGAGAGAGAGAGAGAGAAGAGAAGTTACAGAAATATTATGAACTTGTGTTGATAAAATATTTCACGTGAGGGATCCAGGTGTCTCAAGCACAACTTATTAACATGTATTCTCTCTCTCTCTCTCTCCCCTCTCTCTCTCTCTCTCTCTCTCTCTTGGAAATATGCAAACCCTAGCCAGGAACACTCTGGCCCCTTCCTTTTCCCCCCCTCATCTTCCCCTCTCTCCCTCATCCCCTACTCACCTATCCTCCCCCTCTCCCCCATCCTCCCCTCTCCCCATCCTCCCTCCCCTCCCCATCCTCCCCTGCCCCTCCCCATCCTCCTCCCTCTCCCCCCTCCATCCTCCCCCCCACCCTCCCCCCTCCCCCTCCTCCCCCTCTCCCCCATCCTCCCTCTCTCCCCCTCTCCCTCACGTTTCTGGGTACAAGGACAATTATATCCAAGCCTCAGAAGCTCTTAAGTTCCAAACATTATCCTAGAGACCTGTCGTAAGTGAAGAGGTGATGAGGATTAAAACGAGGTAGAGACCGGTGCGATATATACAACGAGAGAGAGAGAGAGAGAGAGAGAGAGAGAGAGAGAGACCTCGACCTCGACCTTGATTCATTTACTTGCCCAATACACGAGTCATCCTTCCCTCTTCTCCCATCTTCTCTCCTCTTCTCCCCTCTTCTCTCTTCTCCCTTCTCTTCTCTCTTCTCCCTTCTCTTCTCCCCTCTTCACTCTCTCTCTCTCTACCTTTGACAAATGATTCTCCCTCACACTATATAATAATAAGAAAACTCTAATATCCAAGGTAATATATTTGGTTCAGTTATCATAGTCTCTTGATGTTTGTGTTATGTCAGGTAATTGGTCAATCAAAGGTATCAGGTTAGGAGAACGTTCACCTCACCAATGAAAATAAACTTATTCAACCAATCAGATTAATTCAGAATAATATGATAAGTTAATATAAAGTAGACGATAATGTTTGTGTGTTCCTTGGGGGGTCATGCTTACTATCCACTCCTTTAAAAGAAAAAATAATAGTGTCTGAGTCTCTATACTAGACCAGTGAAAGTGAACAATTTACAGGCGAGAGAGGAGGTAGAACTTCACACATTTACATTAATTTACAACAAGTTATGCGTTGAAAAGAAACTTATATCCACGCTCTGTGTTTTATGTAGTGGCTGTAGTGTATTTTCTGTAGTGGTTGGATACATATAGGTGTAGTTAAATACTGTAGGAGTAATATAAGTAGGAACTGTAACCTTAGATCCGATAAAACAGATTTAATTAGGCTTGGATACCACTCTGCGCATCTCAACTATAGTATTACCCGCGTGTCTCCGGTTTAACGCATATCAATGGTTTTTCGTTTTAATGGTTTAAATTTTACACGTTACATAAACCACTTATAGGTGACCACAGGTGTATTATTGTTCAGGTATTGGTGTCTACTTAACGTTGGACACAGGTGTTTTAAGGTGGATACAGGTGTTTTATTTTACTTACTAACGTTCACTCACTGTCTTGGTGTGGTGTAAGAGTTTAATATAAGTTGAGGCTTTATAAATATGCTTCTCTTAAGGTGATAAAAAAAAGCTTGGGTGAAAAGTTATGTTTTTTGTGTGGGGAGGGGGGGGTGTCTCCTGTGTGTATGAGAGAGAGAGAGAGAGACAGATATATAGCGAGATAGGAAGAGAGAGAGAGAGACAGAAAGGAAGGAAGAAAGAGAATGAAGATGAAAGCAGTGTAGTGTAATTTACATACTCACTGACAATGTATGATTATTCGCTTCAGACTTGCTTCACTTGCCTCCTTTCTTCCTCCTCTCTTCCTTCTTTCTTCCTTCCCCTTCTCTCATCTTTCATCTTGTTTTTGTCTTTTTTTCCCTTCTCATCTTCCTCTCCCTGCCCTTCCTTTTCCTTCCTTCCTCCCTTTTCTCCTCCTCCTCCCTTTTCTCCTCCTCCTCCCTTTTCTCCTCCTCCTCCCTTTTCTCCCCCTCCTCCTCCTCCTCTCACATCTTGCCTCATTGCACCTTCACAAAGTCCAGACATAAATGGAAATTCTCCTAAAGTATTTCACCAATCTCTCTCTCTCTCTCTCTCTCCTACTAACTAAACTACTCAGTCAAGTACATAATATGTAAATAACTATGTGAATTAAACTATACATTGCAGTTTTACATATTATATAAGAAGAAAAAGACGCTGTATAAATGTCATGTATGTACCCTTTGACCTCTAAAAAACAACTGACCATACACTACATACATACAAGCTAGTGGCAGGGGGGAAAGAGGTTCAGGGGAAGGATAAAGGGAGGATAGAAGTGAATTTTAGAAGGAAAGAATAGGTGCAGTGGCTAAACACCGCTTGCGTGAGGGGGTAGGCAATGTGCCCGGATGGTGCAACAATCACAGTCAGGACGAGGCAGAGGGAGGGCGGGAGCAGGACCGGGTAGGCAAAGGGCCAACGCGGGTGCTCTGGTTGTCGTCTTTGCTTAGGCAGTGTTGGCAAAGCGGAGGAAGAACCGCCCCGCTACGGCGTGGCGCAAGCCGAGAAGCGCAGGTGGACGGAC